AAAGAAACAACACGATGCTAAGCTTGTGCAAGAGGCAAAACTAGCATCATCATCTAATGTCGCAGCTAACGCAAGTAAGGCAGGGGTACGAACCAGTTCAACATTGTCGAAAACATCACAAACTAACCCATCAACGTCCAAAGTATCAAAGGGAAAGGAGGCATCAACTCGTATTAAGCTATCAACCGAGTCTAAAGCGAAGGAAATCGATCCTAAATTGCAAGCGAGGCCTGATACAAATATTTTTGATGAAATTCTCGGATTGAATACTGCAAAACCAGTGAAGTCAGTAACCAAAACAGTCAAAAAAGATCAGCAAAAACCAACGGCAGTCGTCAAAATTGCTGCTGAAAAGCAAGATCCTTTAATGATTGTAGGAACTTCTAAAAGTTCGTCAGAAGTAATAGAAGATGGCGGATCATCGGTAGTAAAAAAAGAGCAAGAGAACGGACAGTCATTGACTATAAAGGAAGCTAAAAAGGATATCAAAGTCACCATATCTAAAAAAAGGAAGCGGGTAACTTTTGCACCTGATAATATGCTTACTCAGGTCAAAATATTTGAAGAGGAATACGATGAAATGGAAGGTGAATTTTCAGCAGCCAATACACCACATCAATTTGGAAATGCACGAGATCTTGATAGAAATGAAGGGTTGACGGCTTTCAAAAGAGTACGGAAAGCGCCAGCAATTCAATGGTATACTGCTCCCATGTTGGATCTGACCAACAAGAAAATAATAAAGCCTGCAACGGTGGAAAGTGACGAGGCAAGAATACAGGAAGAGCGGGAACGACAAATCTTGGAAACAATATACATTACATCAGATCAAGTTCCATTTTCACCAGCCGAACCTGATGAAAATATACAGCAAAATCGAAGTAATATAACATCTCAGGAAATTATCTTAAGCGCAGAATCTGATGAAGAGGATATTGAAGACGATACTGGAGATAATGATTCAGAAAGTCGACCTTTTATTTCTGAAGAATTATTTACACAGTTATT